GGTAAATGTACTCCTAGGATTCCCTATCTGCCACAACCTTTCTCTACACATTTTGTCCAGAAAGCTGTCTAATCATCGTATATTGTCCATGGCAACAAATTTAAGTTGTACTTTTCCTGCATTTATGTATTTAATGTTAGTAATTGGTAAGACTTGACTAGATATGTTTTAAGACTTCTATTTTTCCATTTTTAATTTTTTTCTTATCAGAGCAAAATCTACACAGGTTGTTTGGTAGTGTCCCCCAAATACCATTTTCTCGCACCATTTTATGTAGCTAAGAAACCTAACTATAAAGATTCACAAATTTAGACTTGTTGACATTATTATTTTAAAAGGAAGTTGCAAAGGAGATTAGTCTTAATATTACTCTTATTTACTTTTAATGTCAAAATTGATATGGTTATACAAGCAATGCTTTGTTTATACACTACTTTGCAGTTGTCAGAATGCTTCCCAAGTTTTATCACATTTGAGCCTTACAAGGTAGAAAAGGTACTAAACTCACTGAAGAAGTCAAAATACACAATACCAAGAGGCTAATTGAGTGGCCTAGGGTCTTGACAAAGTCCTTGAGAGCCAGAATCAGGAGCCACACCTCCCAGCTTTTGCCACATTATACCCCCTCCACACAGTCAGGAAGACCCTTCACAAATGATTCTGGGTACATACAAAGAAGAACAGATAATGAAAATACCGTCGGGCAATTCCAGAATTCCCTAGCGTCTTAAGAAAAATGTCCAGTTTATCTACACAGTGGCAGTTATTGTTAAGACCATTCCTTTCCCAGTCCAGGACTGTGTGTCCTCAAATGTGTTGTATAGGACAAATGTCTGTCCCCAGCAGCCTATTCCAAGCTGAGAGTTTCTAGAAATTACATTACTTGTGGCACTTAGCCACCATGGAGTATGATGGAAAGAGAGAGAGTCCTCCACCTGTGGGTCCCTCAGAAAACCCGTGGAGTCAGATGCAGAGAACCTGAGCTGTTCACTGGCATCCACACATAACAATAAAAGCAATGTCACTGGAGAAAAATGTGTTTACACTTGGTGCCAACTTGCACACTAGCTGAACTAACTAGCGCCACCTGAGAAATTTCTACATTAAGGAGACCTTATTGTGCCCAGAGAAAAACTGCTCAGAATCTAGTTATCATGGTCCCTCATCTTGAGCTCCACGGTGAAATGTTTTAATGTACTCAACTTCAAAACTCTAAAGTAATCCACATTTCTATAGGAAGTCTCTACCCAAACCCTGTTCGTCTCTAAGACCTACATTTGTTTGTTTTCAGGATCAAGAATACTGAGCTAGCTTTAAGTAGCAAACTGATTTATATATGCAATTTCAGGATGCAGTAAGATGAATAAATAGCCTTTACATATGAAGAACTCTTACTGCAGCTGTTTTGTTTTGAAAATAGCTTTGCATACTAAATGCAGGTTGATTTTGTAAAATGAATTATGTTAAGCAGTATGTTCAGACAACTTTCTGCCATGGCCAAAAAGTATGTATGAAAGTATGTTTGCATTTGTTTGTGAAGGGATGCCAATGTTTTACCTGAGATCTTAGTGATTCTTCAGTTATCTATGCATTCTTTATATCTGTGATTCGGTAAACAGGCAGCCGTGTTCACTATGCCTTGTGTGTCTTATCATTTTTTTAATTAACTTGTTAAATACAGCTTAAAATATTTTTATTTTATTTATTCTATTTTTACTGAAATATACTGCATCATTGTGTTAATGTATTCTCTTTCCTGGGTGTAATGTCAGTGTACCTGGGTCTGAGTAAGCTCAGTGAACTACATCGCCTAAAAGGTGGTTTTATAATGATTTGTAGTCACATTTCTATTGGAATATGTAGAAGCAAGGACAAAATGCTTAAAGTTCTTTTTATTTTTTAAAATGACTAGGTAGATGTGCTCTGACCACCTTGCCTGTGCTCCTTGGTAGCATCAACGTGGTAGCCAACATGCCAATGGCTAAGAACTTCTCTTCGTAGACTAAGGCACTGTGTGGTGCTCTGTTTTTGTATCCGTCACAGCGTGTGTGATTTCATCAGAGATACACATATATCCACGTGCCCTTTGTTTCCACCTGGATTCAAAATCACCCACAGCTAATTAGAACCATTGTTTTGTTTGTTTGTTTGTCTGTCTGTCTTACTGCATGAAGGGACATTAGACCCATTTCCATTAAAACAAATTCTTGGTGATACAACTGTTGGCACTGCTATTTTTTTTTTTTTTTAATCCACGTTAGGCATTTAAGAAAGACACACAACAAACCACTCAAAACAGAGCCACTTGTAGCCCTGAAGCTTCGCTTAGTGTATAGTACACTTACTTTATGAACATTGCAACGCAAGGTTTCAAAAGCCACGTGGAAAAATGTCTTCCCAACATTAGCACAATTTAATCAGACCAAAAGCTCTCTAGCTGGCTAGGTTTAATCCAACATCTGATGTGCTTACAGCCAGTAAGAAAGCAACTGAGCTTGTTTCAGCACACTGGAGATGTGGCTCAGTGGTAGGGCCTTGCATAACACGTGCAGAGCTCTGAGTTTAATCCTTGGAAACCACGGGGTGGGGGTGGGGGGAAATGTTGCATTTCAAGGCAAAGAGCTTCGCTTCCACCATCTGTGAGCTTTGCCAGGCAGCCACATCAGCCACTTCCTCCTGAAAGGACATCTTGTTTTCATTTTGATGCCTTTTGCTGTTGACCACGTTTACACATTTAAATGTAAAATGTTGTGAGAATAAATGTAGCTGCATACTATGTCTGACTCGTTTATCTGACAGCATGGCCACATCTATAAGAAACGGATACAAACTTAGTGTCTCTACAGTAGTTGTTTTATTTTTGTATTATTCTGACTTCAAATTAAACTTTTTAAAAATCATTTTAGTAATTTAAGGTTCTGCTTTCATTAGCATTTCCTACTTGGTGAGAATGAACTAGTTACTTTAACTTGGAGTAGTTGTTTACCCTTGCTTTTTGGTCAGTAGAGAGAGCTAGCATTCTGAACACATCTAATCATCAGCTGGAATTTTTTGTGAGCAGTCTTTTAGGGTTAAGGTGTTTCAGCACAAGAAGTCTGCCTTTCATTCTTGTAAGAATGACAGATGGAGGTGGGAAGTGCATTAAATCCCAAATGAAAGGTGGTAACTAGAGAGTCAGTTGGGTCTGGTTTAACTCCCTTACACACAGAAGACAAATGATTAAAATTATACATTTTATTCACTGCGTGTGTTGTGTTGTTTTGTCTTTGAGATAGATCTCACTATGTAACCCAGGCTGGCCTTGAACTCATGGTGATCCTCCTGCCCCAGCCTCCTGAGTGCTGGGTTTTCAGATGTGTGCCACCACACTCCACTTTTTCTTGTGCTACTAAAGACAGTAACTCTCAATAAACAACATTTCCTCCTGCTTCCAGGGGTTTTACACAGGTAATAGTTTCAGGTAAGAATCTGAATTTGCTTGGGCAAGGCTCAGGAGTCGATCCCCAGTGCCACAAAATAAATAAATTGAAAAAAAAAAAATATATATATATATACATATGACTTGTTGCTGCAGTATTTAAATATTAGTTATTTTTTATTTTTATTTAAATATTGGTTATTTTTTATTTTGCTCAGGAAAGTAAAATGCAATTTAAAAGACTGTGTGACCAGCAGTCTTCACCAGAGTTCTCTTATGTTGATTTTATCCTGTTTTCCTTCTTACTTTACCAGTAAATAATTGATCCTGTCTTCCCAAGAAGAGTGCCAAAGAAGAGCATACAAGCTTAATAAATGAACGATTCCATTTGGAATCTCCAGGAATGTGCAAAGAGAAAACTAACTTAGGCGACCCTGAAATAGCTGCAAGTGGTGACATGTGCTACATGTGCAAGTGGTCACTTCCTGCTAGAGATTAGAAAGTGTCCTGAGCCTGCATGAGACAGACTTAACCCAGAAGACACTTGAAAGTACAAATCTCAGCCTGGGTGGAATGGTCTTCAACCTGAACTCCTTTGCTGGGATGAAATGGCAGCTCCTCTCTGAATGATGTAAATTAACTAAGAGAGATGCATAGTTTATATCTTGGTAAAATACCTAAGCAACGGAGGCAGTGTGGGCTTGTGTTTGTAGGTCTGGGAATGGAAACTGATGCCAGGTACATGCTAAGCAAGGCTTCCACCCCAGAGCCATATCCCAGCCTAGACAAGATATTCTTGAGCAGCTCAGGCTAGACCGGAATTTGGGAAGGAACCCTTCTACCTGTTTCCTAAGTTCTATGCATTCTAAGAGTCATAACTAGCAAGACTTTTTTGGAATAGAAATATAAATCTTTTGAAGTATAAACTCATTTTCCTCATTCACAGATTTTAATGGAAAATATAAATCTTTGGCTGAAAGAAAACTGTACTATGAAAACTAAACCCAACTGTAGTAAGATAATCACTTTGTCCACACCTGTGGCACTGACCACGCCCATTGGGGTGGGGACAGGGGCAGATGTTACCTGGGGGAACTAGGTCTGAGGAGCTGTCCATCCCCCACCCCACCCCTCAGAGCTGTCTCTTGCTTGCAGCACAGGGACAGAGCATCAGGAGGCATCCTTGGGACCAGGAACCTGCTGGTGTTCATCTGTCTCTGTTGTAAGTTATTTTTCCCTAAATAAACATCTATTTGGCCTATGTTTTCCTGATCTTACTACACCACGATACCCAACAATCCTTTGTCCTTCCCAGGTCAAGTGGGCCAGGAAAAACCACTAGAGCTAAAACAGATCCCAGTCTACCTAAACTGAGCATGTAGCACTCATTCACACTTCTCCACAGCTGAATTCTGTGTGAAGATAAAGCTTTACATTCAAACTCCGAATGCGTTGGAACTCTAAAATAAGATTTGTAGTCATAACTTTATTTAATGTCAAACAATTTCTGTTGCCATGATGAAAAAAATCAGACCCAGAAATGACAATCATGTCAATATTGGTAGGCAATTGTTACTATAGCTAAAAGTAATTGACATTTAATGTATTAACATAGTGCTATAATGTATTTCAATTGTGCATCAGAAATGAGTTATCAAGGTTTGATCACTGTGTGCATCGGAATGACTTGTACATTTGGCTGTGTCACCTGATCTGTGCATAGAATCAGAAATCTTGAGTTTTTTCAATGATACATTGCTTGTGTTCAACAGTTAGACCTCTTTCTCAGAACAAGAACGCTTAGTTAGAATTTGCTCACAGTCCTTTCCCAACAGTGTGTGGATAAACAGAAGGCAGGGATTATTGTGTGCAGCCTACTCTGGACTCTGGAATGTTCTCCAGAAATTTTTTTTTATGTATGGACATCTGGGCCATGCACGACTAGCACAAGAGATTCCCTGTGCTTCCTAGCCCTCCCTACTCAAAGCTCAGTCCATCACAGAACCTTCTGGCATGCCCTGTTTCAGGAACAGTGGGATGCTTAAGGAAAAAACTGGCCTCAATTGGGATTCAAGAGGTTTCAGTAACAGTAACTGCCTGGCTGGCTAAGGAGCAGTCTAGGTGTCCTGGCTGGAGCTGGAGTGGGCGGGATAGGACAGCATCATTTGTATCTCAGGACTTTGTACCAAGCCCCTCAATGAAGTCTGCACAGCAACCTACTGGAAGGTGGACTCTGTTCCCTTCAGGTAAGACAGCTGCTTAGTCCACCCGTCAGAACTCCCAGGAGTGAGGCAAGTTCTACCAACTGATCCAGTCTGCAACTGGGCATCCTAAAACAGATTAGCACCGAGCTGATGAAGCCTTTGTTTGCTCACCCAATCCCTTCCATTATTTCTCATCTGTCTTCATTCTCTGGAGGTAAAATTGCCATCAGAAGATACTAAGCGACCAAAAGCCCCAGTATCTTGTGTAATAGTCTCTAAACGTAAAGAAATCCCAGCCAGCCTGGAGGAAGGGCCACACAGTCAAAGCCATGGTCTGGGATGCTTGAGGAGGGAGGAAGTTGTGTTTTCCTTAGTTTTCTCCCCTCTTCTGGGTGCTGATGATGTAACATAGCTGGGCATGCCAGCCTTTGACCCAACCAAGCGACAGTAGAAATGGTTTGCTGGCATCTGAGATCGGGCCCCCTGAGGACTTGAGAACGGGAACATCACTGGAGGCAAAACAATCTCCACGGATTTCAGAGGAATCACTTTGCCTTCTGGCCGAGTTCGTCTCAAGGTCATCGGCCGTTCTTCTGACCGGGAAGGAATAGTGTTCTTCGCCAGTGTGGTTGCTAAAGGATTGGTGGCAGCCTTGATGGGTTTTCTGACCTGGGAGGAAGTGCCCACTTGAGTCACATTTTTTGATGGGAGAGGTGTTTTTGATGTTAATGCCTCGCCTTGGGAAGTACTGGCTTTACTTTCTCGGTTCAGGAACTCAGTGATTTTCATTTGGATGTCATTGTTATCATTAGCAGGAGGTTTGGGCAGTGATGTTTTGGATTTCTTCCTCTTCTTCTCCCGTTTGGATGTCTTCCCAACCTCAACCCCATCCAATAGACCTTTGGCCGCAGCTCGGGCCAGAACATCCTTCACAGATACGGTCTCGGATGGGTCTCGCTGCAATGAAAGAAGCAGCTATTAACTTGGAAGCCACCTTCAGTGTGCAGATTTTAAAATATTAGTGATTTAGTGAAAATGAAAACATACTAAAATAAATGATTTTTAGGCCTTAGACCCTAACATAACTCATAAGGCACACCAAATAACTTTTTTCTTAGTTCAATTTCCCCATTTACAAACCTCATAAGAATTACACTGCTTATTTCTTATATGTTAAGGAAGATACACAGTTGGCAAACTGCTGGGAAAGGTAGGAGCAGAGGGCAAGACAAAGAGGGATGCTGAGGATGATGGAGAACAGAGATCGCATGCTAAACAGTAGTGTTCCTGTTCTTGCCCTCCAACTGTCCATACAAACAGCCACTGCAAAATGATCATGAAGTAGGTTCCGATGACAACAGTTTGTTTTTTACAATTCCAAAGTATGTCATGGATTAGGATTTTTCTTCCTCCTTACCTCTCTTGTTAAAATAGAAAGAAAACAACCATTGGTAACATCAGATGGTTCCACTCTGAAAAATTTGTCCATAGACAATTTTATTTCTTTTAAGGAGCACAGCGGAAGAACAGGAGGACTGAGTCTGAAGTAGAAAAAGAAACAACTAAGTTAAAATGGCTACTTATCCAAGAGAGGAAGACAGTATTCTTCAACTCTAATTTCTGTCTTGCCAATCACTTAAGTAAAAATCTCAAATAAGAAAAAAAAAGTGCTAAAGCTGTCTTCTCAATATTTCATGTTAGTTCATAATTTATTATACTTCCAAAGTCTCTAAATAACTACGCCAAGAATAACCTCTTAACAAGCTGGAAGGATCTCTAAGGATTAATATGTTATGAACATAGGTGAATCACAATTGACAGATGTATAGTACCAGGACTAGAGATGCTGCTCAAGGGGTAGCATGCTTCCCTAACACACAGGAAGCCATGGGTTGGATCCTGAACCCTGCATAAACTGGGCATAAACTGACACAGACCTGGGAAGCAGAGGCAGGAGAAACAAGTTCAAGGTCATAGTTAGCCACATAGCACGTACAAGGCCAGCTCCTGGGCTACAGAAGACCCCATCTCAAGGCAAACAAGCAACAACAAAAAACAACCAGGGCTGGTGAGAGGGTTCAGCAGGCAACAGCACAAATCTGATGCCCTGCATTCAATTCCAGGACACACATCGCAGAAGAACCAAACTGATTCACAAGTTGTCCTCTGACCATCACATATTTTCTTTGTGCATTCAAACTCACACACACATACACAGTTCAAGACTATACTATACACACACACAGCTCAAGATTACATCACACACACAAAGTTCAAGACTATACTATACACACATACACACAAAGCTCAAGACTACACTATATACACACACACACACAGTTCAATACTACACTACACACAAAATTCATCACTACACACAAAGTTCAAGACTACACTAAACACACACACACCAAGTTCAAGACTACACTATACACACACACACACACACATACACACAAAGTTCAGGGTCATTCTCAACTTCATAATGAGTTTGAGGTCAGCCTAAGATAAAGGAGAGTCTATGTCACAAAATATAAGGATAGAATAAAGACTTTCTAATACAAAGGGAAAAATGTTTAACCATTGACATGTTTATAAGTACATTTAATTTCTTGTGTAGTATCATTTATAAATAAGATATTAATGTTCATATTATGTTATTAAGCATAATATGATTATGATGTTATACATGCCTGTTGTACTCATTTATTTATTTATTTATTTATTGGAGTTTTGAGACAGGGTTTCTCTGTGTAGCTTTGGAGCCTGTCCTGGAACTCACTTTGTAGACTAGGCTGGCCTGGAACTCACAGAGATCCACTTCCCAAGTCCTGGGATTGAAGATGTGAGCCACCACTGCCCAGCTTGATAACATTTATGTTTCCATATTTGGGGATTGGCCTATATCCAATCAAAGCAATTAAACCCTGTCCATATGAATTAGAGCATCAGGAATACTTCATTCATTTTGTCTATTGTGAAATTTACAACCAATTTAAAATTTATATTTATTTCATTATTTGCCCACTAGATGCAAAGCCCATGAATAGAACTGTAACTCAATTTCGTTTATACATTAGGAAAATAAATCAAGTTGCAATAATATAAATTAGACCAGGGCGAATGCCCAAGACAAGTAGAGGCATCCTATGGGAGGACAGAGTTAAGGGACAGCTAATGGTAACTGTGGGGGAATGCAAAGAGAGAGCCTGCATAGAAGTGGGCTGGGCTGCCAATGCTGCATCCTGCCGAGTAAGTGGTTTCTGAGATATTGATGGGGGGTGAACAGAACAGAAAATGAGGAAGAGCACCAGCAACCTGACAAATCACACTGTGTTCAGCAAGTATTTCCCACGCGGCTGGGACAACAGGTGAGCAAGGATATGTCATCTGACTCACCAGAGAGTCTGTCACATGAGGGCACTGACAGAAAAGCAAATAGTGGACCTTACTCCATGGTTTCTGAGGGGACACAGTCTCACCAGATTATCTGAGAGCTATTGTGCACACAAATCCATTCTTCGTTTTTGTTTTGAGACAAGGTCACACTATGTAGCTCTGGCCAGCCTAAAACTAAGTAGGCCAAGCTAGCCTAAGCTCAGAGACCCACCCGCCTCTGCCTCCAGAGTTCAGGGATCAAAGGTACTCAGTATCACTCCCAGCCAGATGTTTTTTTAAACTGACATGATGCCACAAGTAGAATGTCCCACCTCAGACCTCAGGTGTCAGGTCATACTCAAAACACTAGCACATTAAAATAGTGCCAAAAATCACCCTCAGGCTTTCTGTATAAGAAGCATATGAAACATAAATGAACTCTATGCATAGATTTGCATTCCATCCCTGCCCCAATACCTCATGTATCTAAAAATACTCCACTGATAAATTGCTGGTATCTAGTAGAGGGTTTGGCACATAGTAGATATTCAATACACAACTGAATAAAATGCTATTACTTTTAGCTTCACTCATGCATTCTTATGGTAGTAATAATTCATAAATAAGACTAGATAAGTCATCATCCAGAAATTGACTTTGTAGGTTTCTGAATTCCAGTTTATAGCCTATTTCTTTAAATATCAAATATTACCACACCCAGAGTCTTGTTTACCTCTGATCTTGGTGTCATTTGGGTTTCTTTTTCTAACTGACAATATGAGGATGTGGATTTATAAGTGACCTTTAAATGGATGAAGACATTTGTAGATGTTGAGATAGAGTGAATATATTTTGCAAGTGAAAAGTATAAATTTTGGGAAGCCACAGAATAGACTGTTGTGTGATGAAGAGCATCCCCACCCTGCCTCAAATTTAAGTTCACTCTAAACCACAACATGAGACCTTGTTGGAGAATAGTTCCCCAAATCTAATACTGGAGTCCCTGTAAGAAAATAAAGACACTGGAACACTCAAGGAAGGGACTGCATGAATACACAACAGAGACTCAACTGTGAGTTAAATGCCGAGGATTGGCAGCAACTACTGAAAGCACAGAACATTCTCCACCACAAGCTCTACAAGGAACTAACCCTGCCAACACCTTCTTTAGGATTTTGGACCTCCAGAACCATGCATGAGTAAATACCTGTAAATGAAAAAGTTCAAGTTTTTCATTTAAAAAAACATTTAAAAAGGAAATGGTATGGAAGGTTGGATTCTCCAGCACTGGAAAAGAAGGGAAGAAGGAAGGGGAGAGGATAGAAAAAGAAAAAATACACAATAATGTGAAATATTTTTAATTTATATCAAAACAAATACTCAATATATAAAACAATATTAGAAGTTTCATTATCCAGTTGGAAAGCAGCTAAGCATATGAACATGTAATATACAGACTAATTATCATGGTAATTTAAAATTATTGACTATTTTCTGAGGACTGCCAGCCCCCAAATAATGGAACAGAGACTTATTACTAATTATGGAAGCTTGCCTTTAGTGTCAGTTCTTCCCAACTAGTTTTTTTGTTTGGTTGATTTTTGTTTTTTTTTAAGACAGGGCCTCTCTGTGTAGCTTTGGAGCCTGTCCTGGGATTCACTCTGTAGACCATGCTGGTCTCGAACTCATAGAGATCAGCCTGCCTCTGTTTCCCGAGTACTGGGATTAAAGGCATGTGCCACCAATGCCTGGCTTCCACCTAGTTTTTATAACTTAAATTAACCCATTTCTATTAATCTATGTTCTGCCACGTGGTTTTATACCTCTCCATTCTGTATGTCCAACTTTCTCAGTGTCTCATGCCCTAAATTCATCCCCCTGAGTTTCTCTCTCTGCCCAGAAGTCCCACCTAACCTCTCTTGCCTATCTGTTGGCCATTCAGTTTTTCATTAAATCAATCAGGTGCCTTAGGCAAACAAGGTAAAACAGCAACATATCTTCACACAGTCTGATAAAATATCATGCAACATTTTTGGGCCAAGTACTGTTTATGTGTTAAATATGTTCAATCCCAACAAAGATCCACTGAGGCAAATAATAATAGTAACTCTGTATTACACCCAAATTTCCCTCCTCTCCACTCACAATGCCCTTTCTCACTTAACTGTCACCTATCTTGCTTAGGACAAGGTTAAAATCTCTAGGGAGGTAAACGAAGGACCAACAATAATGTGGCTTACTTCTCTCACACAAAAGCAGAGTTTGGGTAAGTGTGTTTGTTTGTTTGTTATGACAGGGTGTCACTATATGTACTGGAAGGTTTTGTGTGTCAACTTGACACAAGCTAGAGTCATCAGAGATAACTCAGTTAAGGAAACGTCTCCATGAGATCCAGCTGAGGGCACTTTCTCAATTAGTGACCAATGGGGGAGGGCCCAGCCCATTGTTGGTGATGCCATCCCTGGACTGGTGGCCCTAGATTCTGTAAGAAGGCAGGCTGAGCAAGCCAGGTGGAGCAAACCAGTAAGCAGCACTCCTCCATGATCTCTGCATCAGCTCCGGTATCCAGGATCATGCCCTGTTTGAGTTCCTGACTTCCTTCAGAAACAGCAATGTGGAAGTTGTAAGCCAAACAAACTCTTTACTCAAGATCTCCCATGTTCTTGGATAGGTGGGATAAATATAGTAAAAATGGCAATCTTGCCAAAAGCAATATACAGATTCAATGCAATCCCCATTAAAATCCCACCACAATTCTTCACTGACCTTGAAAGGATAATAATCAACTTTATATGGAAAAACAAAAGACCCAGGATAGCCAAAACAACCCTGTACAATAAAAGAACTTCAGGAGGCATCACCATCCCTGACTTTAAGCTCTACTACAGAGCTATAGTTCTGAAAACAGCCTGTTATTGGCACAAAAATAGACAAGTAAATCAACAGAATCGAATTGAAAATCCTGATATAAACCCACACACCTATGAACACCTGATTTTCGACAAAAGAATATAATGGAGGGAGGAAAGCATCTTCAACAAATGGTGCTGGCACAATTGGATGATGGTGTGTAGAAAACTACAGATAGACCCATGTCTGTCGCCATGCACAAAACTCAAGTCCAAATGGATCAAAGACCCCAACATCAATCCATCCACACTGA